TACGTTAGAGCCTCGGACTCCTGTTTTGTCTTGCACAGATCCTGCAGGAACCAGAGAGCAGTTCACTATTGGGACTGTTTAGGAAGGTTTGGGCAGGCTTAGCTCCTTTTAATCAAAGAGAAGACTCAGCCAAGAGTCTGTCAAGGCCAGAGGTGAGGAGACCACAGTGCAATCAAGCAGTAGGACTGGAGCTGCCGTCACGAGAAAATCAGTCCTTTCCTGGCATTTCAGGAGCACATTTGCTAGTTCTGTGCTGGCAGGAAGCACTCGTCTGTCCACCACAGCCTCTGTGGTCTCCACTGCAAATTGCAGTTGAGAGCAGGCGTGCCTGGTGGGTCCTCGGTGAACATTTGGTGTGATTGCTGGCCCTCGTCAGTATCTCAGTGGAGAGGAGTCGACACATAACCCACTTTTAGTGCTTCCCCCATCTGCAGGCTCGGTAACATTTTGCAAGATGAAGCTCATGGAATATTCAGTATCAGTACTGTAGACCATGTTTATGCTCCTCTTTTCCCAGAAAACTTTAGGAAAAATGCTAAAAGTCTGGAGTTCTTGACGTTAAGTTTTATTTGCTTTGATTTCATTTTAAATCTATTATACATTTTTTTTGGTTTTAGAAATCAGATAACACATTATAAATAGGTAATATACATATTATATATTAAATATGTATAATAATAATAATATTTTTTATTTGTGCTCCATTTTACCAGAGAATTTTAGGTTTCTGAATCTTACTTGTTGCAGTTATAAAACAAGAATTTAAAGAAACACCTAGGTCTATATTGCCATGGAAAAGAGTGTCGTTTACAAAAGTACCAGGCAAAAGAATTTGCTCACTCCTTGGGAGGACCCACTATATTTGAATGCTCATATGAATCCAACATTTCTCTTGCAGTCCAAAATGGGGGAAAAATGAATAAATAAATGGCTGGAAAGTGAAATCAAATATAAATGGCTCTCATCTAATGGCAAAGTGGTCCAGGAGTTCAACAGGTATCTTCTTAGGCTCTCTTTTCTATGCAATTTTCTTCACAAATAATCAAATGTTCCCAAAATTTCAACCCTTTGCAGTGTAAACTACGTATCCCGGGGCCACCGAGTGACCTAAGGTTTTTGTCTTTAAAAATGAGTTAGTGATAACAATATTCCACCCTGACTCACAGGGTTGTCAATGAATCTAATAGATACAAAGTGCTTTTTTACTTAAAGTGCGATGCAAATACTCCTGCTGTTCAATGTCTGTGTGGCTTGATTTGGCTGTGGGTATATATAAATGGTGACTTGGGGCCTTATACTTGAGGTGTAGTGTGCTATTCAGGTGACACTAGTGAAACTGGACCAATGAATAAAGACTACTTTCATAATAAGTTTAATATCAAAAGATGACATCTCTGTATTATGTTGTACATCAGTGTTTTAAAATTGTTTTTATAAATATCTACATATTATTAAGTAGCTTTTATTATTATCTATTAAGTTTTTGAGCTGCTACTCTCTGCTCCATTCTTCTCTCGAGCACACTTCCAACATACAACTTTATGTCCCTTCAAATCTTTAGTTCTTAAGTAATAAATATTAATAAGAGCGGGATACATTTTGTCTTTGTTGTCAAAATGTTATGTCTATGAAATTGCTTTCCATTACAGTGAATCATTTGCAACTTCTAATAATGTTATTTAAACTCATCCTTTAGTTATGTCGCAATAGAAGGCACTGTATAATTTTTAAAAAAATTGTATTTGGGGGGGTAGGTGTGTACCAGCTTAGGGCAAATCAAAGGAGAGTCCCTCCCTCCAAAGGAATTTCATATCAAATATAAAATTATTTCTGGTTTCAGTGGATAGTAAAAAAGAATATACTTTCACTTCAACACTGAAATTAGTTTTCCCCATTTGCTTTTAAACTTGCAAAAGTAAATATGTCATTGAAAGGAATGAGGAGGCATTGACACATGGTACAACTTGGATGGAACTTGAAAGCATTGTGCTGAGTGAAAGAAGCCAGCCACAAAGGTCACATATTATGTGATTCCAGTTATATGAAATATGAAGAAAAATAAGTCCATAGAGATGGAAAGCAGATGGGTGGATGCCAGGGCGTTGGGAGAGAGGGCATAGAGAGTGCCCTCTTAATGGGCACTATGGCACCTTTGGGGGTGATGAAAATATTTTGAAACTAGTTAGAGCTGGTAGTTGTACAACATTTGGACTACTAAATGCCACTGCGTCATACACTTTAAATTGGTAAATTTTAGGTGATGTAAAAGAAAACAAAGTTGTTAAAAAATAATGAAGGTATCATAACGTGCCATATACAGAAAGTGCATTCTCAGTAAATAATATTCAAGGACCCTGGATTGTACATTTTCTCACCAAGCCGTCTTTATTATCTGACCCTAATCCAGACCAGGACCAACCAGTTGTCCTCTTTGGGGAGGACAGGCGCTCGCGGTGTCTGTCTGAGTTCTTTTCCTCCTTAATGCATTGCCAGGTGTCATCAGTTTATCTTTGTGGTAGTGCTCCCATCTGTCTCCTCCTGTCCTGCCCCACTCCCCCCACTCCTAATGTGGCCCACCCTTGCCTCCTGGCTGTGCTGTTGCAACAACTTGTCGCCCGAGCATTCTGCTCTTAGTCAGCCATCCCCACCCATCTATCTTTCCTTGTGGCATCGCTCACGTCTTCTGAGTTCACAACCTTGATCAAATCCAGGCACTGCTTGGACCGTAGGTTTTCAGTGCATTCCATCAGGGGCAGAGAAGTCCCTCCTTCTCAGACCAACTGCCTGCAGGGCCATCCCAGTGTCCAGCCTGTTTTTATCCAGTGGTCATGGACCTTCTGTCTCCTCTCCGGGGCTGCCATGCCACAGCCGAATGTGTGGCCAGGCCAAAGTGGCCTGTTTGCCCGAGCAGGTGGGGGCTTTCCCCACTGCAGCCCTTGCCTCTCTGATGCCTCCTGTTCTAACCACCTTGACCTGCTGGGCTCCTGTCTAGCTTTTGAGGCCCTGATGCCTTGAAATCCAGTGACTGTCCTCCCTGGCCTTCTACCAGCAGGGCACCATTGCTCCCTTTGATGAATGCTCAGGATGCTTTGTGGTACCCCTTGCCTGCCTTTTTCACAGTTGGTCTCACATCGTAGTTCTGTCTGTGCGTTGGCAAATGGCTAGCGCTGTGACCAGAACCACCCACTTGGTGACCTGTGGAGCTAGGGTTTAAATCTCAACTTCTCCCGCCTCAAAGACAAATATCCAATTACTTGCTTCCTATTGATTTTTGGACCTCTCCATCTTCACTCCTCCCCTTCCCCGTGCCCACCTGACACACCGCTATTGTGTATAATAGATTCCCAATAAATATTTCTAGAATGTGCAGCACTCATGACTCTGTACTTAGAAGTTGTGTTTTTAAAGGAACTAGCCAATTAACTCTTATTCAAGAGCGAAAGCACGAGAACAGGCAGCAGTATTTCACTGCCGTGTTCTGAAATGTTTGTACATGGCGTCTATAGTCCCCCTAAATAGAAACATTGATTTGGAATCAGTACGGCCAAGTATCTTGTCTCAGGTGTCACCATTCCCATGGGCCTTTTTCTGTGCTTTTCTCCCTCAAATTCATAGTGTTTATTATCTGTCCCACTAATTTTGAACCTAATTATATATTATTTTGCGTTGTTTTTTAAGTGATTTCTTCGTGGTTATACATTTTCACAGTTGTAGCAGTTACGTCTACTTTGATGAATGAACAAAAAAGTGAAAGAATGAAAATCTCTTCTTAGTAGATCACCAACAGGCTTCTTAAAAGACTCTATTTGAATAACATGGAATTACGTTTCTTAGTTTTATTATGGCCTCTCTAGCTGTTTGATAAGCCAGCCTTCCATTCTTAACCCATCTGGAGATCTTTCCTGTATTATCACTATAACCAGAAGTCCCATCAGTTAAAAAACTGTTTAGGTTGAGAAACAACTGTATTCCTGTATTTGCAAAGATTACCCCAGAGGGAAAATAATTTAAACAAACCATTGTGTGTGTGTGTGTGTGTGTGTGTGTGTGTGTGTGTGTGTCATTGGCATTTACTAGAAGCAAATAACTTAAGTGAAATCAAACACTGGGAGATATGGAAAGACAACCAGGCTAAGAGATAAGCTTAATAAAGATTTTGCTTTTCAGACACACCATCCTTTTGACGCCTTCCTATCATTAAATTCTGTGTGTGTCTGGTTGCAAATAAACTTCAAGGGGCTCCACACTTTTAAAGAAATGATAAATTATGCAAAAGATCATAACTGGTCACTCTCGTTTGAGTAAAAGGGTGGTAAGAAAAGGAAGATAGTTTTCTACAAATTAAATTTTTTAAATCCAACTCTATTGAAATAATTTCACTACCTTTGCCAAGTGGGCAACCTGTTAAGGAGAAAAGGTAACAATTCTGATGACAGTTCTTTGTTTAAGGAGTAAGAAAGCTGTCTGTCCACCTTCCCAGCGTGACATCCTGACTGAGAGCATCTGAATGAGCACCTGGAGTGAAGCGCTTACCATTGACCACTCCCTTTCTCTTCCTCTCGTCCCTCTGCAGGTGACCTATCTGGGGAAAGTCCCCACCACGGGCATGCAGTTTTTGTCAGGCTGCACAGAGAAGCCCGTCATCGAGCTCTGGAAGAAGCATACACTAGCCCGAGAAGACGTGTTTCCGGCTAACGCTCTCCTGGAAATCCGACCGTTCCAAGTGTGGCTCCATCACCTGGACCACAAAGGAGAGGCCACAGTCCACATGGATACCTTCCAGGTGGCCCGCATCGCCTACTGCACCGCCGACCACAACGTGAGCCCGAACATCTTCGCCTGGGTTTACCGGGAGATCAACGACGACCTGTCCTACCAGATGGACTGCCACGCTGTCGAGTGCGAGAGCAAGCTGGAAGCCAAGAAGCTGGCCCATGCCATGATGGAGGCCTTCAAGAAGACTTTCCACAGTATGAAGAGTGATGGCCGGATCCACAGGAACAGCTCATCCGAAGAGGTCTCCCAGGAATTGGAATCCGACGATGGCTGAATGAACTTAGGGTGCTTCGGCAAAGGCAGCATTGGTCAAGGGATTCCAGACGGTAGATGAATAAGCAACGATTCACATTGGGGATGAAAGACTGCCAAACTATTGGCTGACCAAGCTTTTTAAATTCAGAAGAGCAATTCTAAATCTAAAGAAATGTATTATTAAAGTAATTACGTTACATTGAAATCTGCTGCTGCTGTGACTGTGCGGAGGGTGGGAGTGTGGATGGGGAGGAAAGTTCTAGACTCTCTTCTGTTTTTTCCCCCCCGTCATTTCCCATTGCCTCCCGTAGCAGATCTCCATGCTGATTTTCACCACTCTCAGGCAAATACACTGAGGCTGTTATTTGATGGACCATTCCAGTTTGCCTTACGAAACCCAACGAGAATGTTAGATGCACCTGTAGGATCCCTAGTCGTGGTGGGGTTGGGGGGGCATGGAAGTCACGGGGCTAAAGGACAACCTCAGGTGGATCTGACCCTGAGAGTTCCTCTCCCATGGCATGTTTTAGATTCTCTCCTCAGTAAGCCAATCAGCACAGCCTTCATTGAGCTTTACGACTAACAGCCTGATAGTTGACAATTAATTCACAGTTAAAGATAATGCTTTTATTTGCATAAATATATCAAGTAATACCCTCTTAGTGTATTCACCTCATCTATTTTCTTAGAATCCTTGCATCTACTAATAATAGATGGTAGTTCCCTCCTCCTGCCCCATCCACCATCTTTCCCCTTCCAACCCGTGTCAACATCCCCACAAGGATAGACTCTCAACATACACTGCAGGACACCAAAAGGGAAGAAAATAACCAAGCAGATGAAATGAACCATCAAGCCAGCTAGGAGTTTAACACAACCACCACCACAATAGAAACCTTGGACAGTGGGAATGAGCTATCAGCACCTGGACAAACTCTGTGTTGGCTGTCCTGTTCTCAACCCTGTTTGACGGTAACTTATTTAGTTGATGGCCTGTCTGATGACTTCATGGCAAGCTTCAAATCTGATTTGGTGTAACCAAGGAAGACTTGCCCCCATCACTCAACGTTGCGCTCAGAGGGAATGAGGTCTATCAACTTGGCTTGTCTAGAGCCCCTGTGTTCATCTTAATCTAAAGAGAAATCTGACCTTGTTATCTTGCAATTGGTAACATCTCAGGGTCAGGGTTGCCAGTGTGTTCCCTATTGCTAATGAGAAGTTCTCACTGAGAGAACCTGAGATTTCTTAGTTTCATGGCTCTTTCAATGTCATAAGCAATAAGAGTCAACGTTAAAGGAGGTTGAAAGTCTTTGTTAAAATACACACATTTATGGCCGAGAGCAGATGGTTAGTTTTCCAGGTAATGCTGCTCATTTATTAAAGTCTGTTCTTACCCCTGGTAATGTTAGGGGTGTTGGGACACCTTACAGCAGCCTTATGTGAGAGCTAATCGCATCCGGAGAGCACTGGTGTTGGTGTTTCGGTCTGTGTATCTGTGTGTCCCTGTATGCGTTTGTGTGTGTGTACATGTGCCCCTGGGTGTGGGTCTGGGTTTAAGGCATGTGGAATAAGCATGGAGTCATATCGAGGAGAACCTGCCTCTTGGAGATACGCTTGCTGCTTTCCGACACATGTAAACTATTCTTTAGCATAAATGCATTCATTCTTTAATAAAACATATGTTTGCATTAATAAAGCTGAGGAGTTTCATACTTTGTCTTTCCTTTTTTTTTAAGTAATGAAATCCTGAAGAACAATATAGATCAAGTTGAGTGAACAGGGAATTCTATCTAAAAATATGTTCAAACTTGGTCACAAATAACCCATTCCTTGATTGTGTTTGAAAATTGTATTTTATTTTCTAACCCTCAATTTATATTTAATTACTGCCCCTTAGCTGAGATGCTAACGTGTCAACAATGGGGAGAGTTGTTTAGTGTGTTGAACTGATTTTAGAGGTGAGTCTTCTAGAACATTTTGCAAATGATTGGTATTTATAAAATCTTACTTCCGTCTTTGGAGAACCTGCACTGAAACCCTGGAAGGTAAACACAGAGTGATTCCGTCTGACAGGACTGGTTAAACATGTCTCTTCCAGGCCATGATTTCTCAGGAAGGCGCGTTAATCGAATGAGGCAGGTGGCCATGGAGCCTGTGTGTCTTGAGCAATGCCCTTCATGGAATCAGTAACAAATAGAAGGGCTTCTGAAGTGAAAATATGGGTGCCTGGTGAGGAGATGAACTCTAGGAAGAATTACTACCTCCTCCTCTGATGAAAATGGCATTTTCTCTCAAGTTGGACTTTTTTCCAATTTCAGCTTTACTCCATTGTCCTTGAATATGCTTCTAAGAGGGGGAGAAAAGAAAAAGAAATAAAGAACCCAGCCGGTACATATTTCAAAACAAGGCAATTTTCTCTCTCAGTAAAAGTTGAATCCCAAGAGTACATATGGTGTATATTGCAGAAAGCACGCGTCAGTATTTTTTCCAGGGTACTGAGTGTGACGTGCTAAATAATTGGCTCTGATAATATTGACAGGAGCTTTTAATTGAGATGATTAGTAAACAACTCAAGGATAAATACACAATGACATCTTTCAAAAGGCTAATGAAGTCTTTTGGGAGAGCCAATATGAAATCCCCTCTAAGGGCGGATTCAGACTTGTATTGTTTTTTGATGCTTTGTTCTCTCCCTTTCTATACTATGCGGGCACTTTGTATACTAGTGGTCACAAAGCACTTTTGTGTTCTCTGACTCATAGGCCTCTCAGAAGGATCCTGTAGGTGGGTGTGGCAGTTACTTTAGAGATGAGAAAACTGAGGTTCAGAGAGGTTGCCTACCTTGGCCAAGGCAGCACAGCTAGGAAGTGTGGGATGGAGACTAGAACCCCTTGAATTCTGATCCAGGACTGTGGCTCTGTTTAGTCAAGACCCACCTCTTGGTTTTTTTTTTTCGTTTTTTTAATTTTTTTTATTTCCATTCCTCTTAAAGCCCTCTAGCTTATTTTAAATTAACATACTAAGCCACTATAAATAAACATCCTTTGCTATTCATTTTTGAAGTATTTTTGATAGCAATAGAAATAGTTTTAAAAGCAAACAAAAGCCCAAGAAGTTTTATTTGAGCACAAATAATATGAGATTTTGCTTAAGTATTGTGTTGGCTGTGTGATTAATGGACAAAATACTTTCTCTACCCCTACGAACCAAGGTGCATGTTTTATGTTGTTTTTCTCAGGACAAGTTAAAACTCTGACTCAGATCCTTCTATTAAAGGATTCTCTAGCAGCCTGTATTTCCTTTCATGTCATTCATTGTAATTTTCAATTATGTATTTATTTGTATAATTATGTAAATATCTGTTTAAGCCTCTGGGGAGTGTCTTTAAGATGGGGATTTTGCCCCATTTGTTCACATTTTATCCCCAGCCCCTCTTCACAGGACCAGGCACATATGGAAAACCCATTAAATTTCTGCTAGTAGGATGGATGGAGGGATAGGCAGATGGAAGGAAAAATCACTATGCGAGCCTTTGATTTGCAAGTTCTAGCAAAGGATCCTAGACCCTGCAAGGGAACTGTAGAGGCCTTGTTGCACACTTTCTTCAAAGGTGGGTAATGGCCTTTCACTGAATGAAAATATCATCCCTTACCTAATTCCAGAAAGAGTTGGTAGCTACTTATAGAATAAAGAACAATGTTCAATGTCAGCTTCATGATCGAAATAAAACAAACGTGATCTCTAGGAAGTAGGCAGATAATGTATTTTAAGACACCTGCATTTAGTAGATTGCAAATTCTTGTCATACATTTTTCTCTTTTTTTTTTCTGTTGTTGAAAAAGAAGAGGGGGAGAGTGATGGGAGAGGCCATTTTTATTTTCTGACTGTCTGAAGCATATGAATTTGACTGGTATCCCCAAAAATTTATGCTTTAGAAAACATGTTCTTTGTCCTCTCTTTGGCTATGTTTCACTTTTCCTTTCCTTCTTCCATCCCTCCTTTCCTGTCTTAACTATTTAATTATTTACATGACAACATTCCAGACTTTCTCTGGTTTTAACAGAGAAGAGCATATGTGCTCTAAATCTGAGGTCACATGTTTTGGTTCATGATCCATTGGCAAAACTTTTAACAAGATTGTTGAACACTGCAAATTATCCTAAATCGCTCCTATTTGTTGTTATTTTTGTCAGATGGGGCATGGTGACAATTTGATTCTTCATAGTTTACTATTTATTAAGCATTCCAAAACTGTGCGATCTCCTCCCCTCAATAACCTGGACTGAATTGGAGTGAAGGTGAAGACCCCCATTATTGCTAAATTCGTATTGATCTTCAAAGAACTTCTTACTAGATGTGAAGATTTGACTTTTCGGATACATTGTTCAACTTAAGAACTTTGGGTGCTTTTGCTGAAGAGTGGTGCCAGCTGATAATAGTCATCAGAAAAGAACTATGTCTGGCCCGAAAACCTGAGCTTAGAAAGAAAAATAACGGGATGAGTTAAAGCAAATTGCTAAGAGGAAGAAAAATCTTAACCATCTTATTTTGGACATTTACAGAGAAACTCGATTTGCTGAAAACGAACCTAAGACATACTCTTGGATGCTTGAGCAAAGCTGATCTTCACAAACAGATGTGGGGGGCATGTTTCTCTTGGAATGTCCTAGGAAGAGTATCTTGGGTTTTCCTTATGCACCCAAAATTGGTCATTAAAAAAGAACCTGAAGCGTTTTTGCTTAGGAAACATGGCTTTCACTTAAAAATAGTTTCAAGTTCCTACTAAGTATTCAATAGCTTGGCTTAGAGGCTGCTATGAGAAGGTACTGATGTGATCTAAAAATGGATGCATATTTTCAACCCCTTCATAATAAATTGTAGATAATTATCTATGCTTCCATGTCTCTACTTCATAGAACAACTACTGTCTTAATATAAGTGCTTTTATCCCTTTATCTAAACATACATATTAGACCGGGGTTGGCTCATTGGAAAACATTATGAGATTTGTGAAGTAAAATGTGATGCTTGATTTCAAACCTGTCATTATGTGGCCCTGGTTGCCATCCAGAATATTCTTTGTCCTTTGGAGGCAAAGCTTAAACATTTAGGGAAACACCCACTTGCACAGGAGAGCCAAGAGTTGACTCCAGTCCAGGGTCACTTTTTAATGTAAATTTGCAACCAACCAAAACCAAGTCTCATCAGAAATATGAGCATAGTGGCTCTGGTTCTGATTTTTCCCAGAAAACAAAATCTAATAATAATTTTCATTATATTCAAAATTGGATTATCTTAATGTAGATGCTATTATGGGTATACAAATATTTTAATTGGGGGCTTAGGATGGAATTAGGCCTTTAATTCAGCCTTTGCCAAATATCTTACCGCCTTGCTCCATTTTAACAGCCACGGTTTTTCCTAGAATTTAGTACTGCACTTCTAGAAATTAGTACAGTAAAACCTCATTATTTTCGATAGAACTAATTAGGAGCTTGTGGTTTTGGCCTTGTAAAGCTCAAGTTTTATGCTTATTTTTAATAAGCAAATAAGTAGGATGAATAACGTTGTTATTGGAAGTGTTTGCCTACTTGGGAAAATACTGCTTCTGCATATTAAAATAATTTACGAGACATATTGTAATTTCAGTATAAGTAGAAGCTGGTACAACTGAAATTGAGGCTTTGATGTGATAGTTTCAAGCCATTCTTCTTTCTTTATTAAAGTGGGTTCTTCGATAAGCAACAGATGGTTAATGCAATTCTCGGATTCAGAGCCCTTGAAAGTAATAACATTCCTTAAAAAAAATACTTAACATTTACACACATTTTCCCCTTAAGTTAGTATAAATGTTTGATCTTATGAACCAAGCCCCTCCAAAAAACTCGAAGTGACTAACTCTTCCTGTTTCTCATAGAAACATAGCTATTGAAATAATTAAAACTAGTTTTTCTGATCATCCAGATTTAATAAATTTCTCATTGCTACTGGTTTGTTTTTCTTCTTAAATCGTCAAGACACTGAATTATTATGGATCGTCTTAGGAAGCTCAGTGCCTCATTAAGATCATATAATGAGCCAATTACATTTAGTGGCCTCGTTTGTATTTAGAATTTTACGTTTTATAGTTGTTCAGATCTGTGAATGTGTGTTTGATTTGCAGTGATCCACTACCAATCTGACCATCCTGCTAGCTCCATCTGAATGGTATGCGGTTCTGAGGGTGGCTGTACAAAGTGGCGCTTGTGTCCTGCCCAAGTGCCCGTGAGAGAGAGGACCACGCAGGCTGCCCTGGATGCCAGCCCCTGCTCTTCCAGCAGAGCATGTGTCTTGGCAGCGGGAGTGGTGTAAATCCAGAGGAAGAGGTGCCTTTTTGTAAACCATCAGCCAAGAGAGGAGACTTTGTAAAACTATCCTCCTAGAAGGTAGATCATGTTTCTATCACGATAGACACTTTTTTTTTGCAATGCACCTTAAAATTGCAGCTCTGCATTTTACCCATATCTTGGTTCTCAATGTATATTTTTTCAGACACATGAAATATTAGATGGTGGATGAAACGCTGCGCGTTTCCCAGACTGAAACAGGGCACCTGGGGACCACCAGAGATCTTTGAGGGACCAGTGATAATTCTAAGGTCATATTTTGGAGAAGAGTCATCTAATCTAAACTGGCCTAACTTTCAGATGTAGGATTAAAACAATTGTGAGTT